TGTTCACTCAGGGGGGTTAGCCGACCTTTCCATCCCTCAACGCCACCACCTCTGCTCTGACACCCAGGTAATATTGACCCTGATCTCTCTCCTCTGGTGGCGACCTTGACCCACATGTTAGTGCCAACCGAGGTCTTCATGAACCTTGCCCAACAAGCTCAAACGCTGACAAGGGTGATGCAATCGGTTGTGCCCCTACTCCCATAGTTAGCTCAAAGAATGCCCATAATCCTTCAACATTTGGCGGTGCCGCAAACCCCGGTTAAGCCCCATCGGCCTACTTCGACAGAAGTAGTGGTCGAGTCGCCTTGACTAATGTACGCCCCGACCGACGAAGACCAGATCCCCAATGGTTGAGTTTAGTAGGCCATGCTGCCCCCATTGGATGGCCTCCAAGTCGGAGGTTTAGTTGGCAGATCACTCGACTAAGGGAGCGGGAGCACTGCTTGAAGGGTTGTCGCCGGAGGAGATCGGAATTGGAGTGCCCGAGGTGCCAGCTCCAAGAGGAGACTAGGCTATCATCGAAGGGAACCTCCAACTACATCGACACATCTTTGTTGACCTCCTAATCGCAAAAGGGGTTCTTCACCTCAAGCCCCGGGTGTGCAACCTTGAAGCGAGTTAAGAGCCAAGAGGTGCCCGTACTCAGAGGATTCCCTTAAGTGCGCTAGGCCCTTCTTGAAGCCTGACCGAGGACTTGCACCACTTGATCGCTTTGGCCTTCCTCTTTGACATTGAGGCCGCCTCAGCTACGAGCTGCTCGGCTAGATCGACGACCGGACAATCGCGCTCTTCGATATGCCGATCCTTCTCCTCGAGATCCTAGATGACTACCTGATCCCAGAGCAACCCATCCTCTATAGACCGGAATTGCCCCGAACGGACTTAAGCTCGGCCACCCAAGAGGCATCAGCACAACGGAGCCCCTTAAACTGGCCCTCCAGCTCGGCCACCCGCCCTTCTAACCGAGAGACGACTTGTGAGTCAACTGACTCTCTTAGGGTGACCACCTCGGCTTGGATGTGCATGATTTTGTCACCCTGTGTGGTGTCGATGACTCCCGAATCACACATCCGATCTACCAACACCATAAAATGGTGTTGGTGTTGCAGATAGAAAGGACGAAGTTAGAGTGATCGAGTCGCTAGAGATCGAGACAAAAATAGGCTGAGAAACTGCTTATGAGAATCTCCCACCTCACGCATGCCTCGATAAGTAACTCCGAAGGTAGCTTATATACCTCCTTGGCTAGAGGAGGGAGTAGCACCCTGTTGGAGGTATTCGACGGACTAAGGATCGTCTTTCCAAATGATTTGGGAGGCCTCGAGGCCCTTGTCGGGTGCCTCTAGTGAAGCCCCTTGCACCGAATCGAGGAGGTCCACTACCTTCAATGCTGTGAACGACACTGGTTTGTGGCAACAGAGCTCCCGCACCTCGCTCCGGCAGGACCTCTTCCGCGTGGGCTCCCTCGGATTCGAGGGCCGACTGTCCGAGGCCTCCGAGACTTTCCTCTTCTGGACGACCCCGCAAGTCTGTGGGGTTGAGCTGGGTAGAGGGGGAGGCGCCTTGGCCTCATGTTGGACTGTGCCCGTAGCCTTAGCTCTGTGATGGGGGGTGGTGTCGCAACTGTCTCTGGAGGGAGGTTTGTAGGCTCAACAACGACCTCTCGAGCTGATATACTCGAGGAGGAAGCAGAGCCTCGCCTTTTCTTTAAATTCGCGAGATTCATCCTTGCGGAGAGGCATCTTGGAGGTCAGAAACCCAATCAACCGGGTTGGAAGAAGTGTCTCGAGAAGTGAGGCATACTCTGAGGAGCGGGACTTAGGCCAGCCCCGACCAGTCAGTGCTTATCCATGCACTTGATGGCTAAACTCAAGTGTGTACTCCCTTGTTGGGAGGTGTGTTGGTGAATGTGTGTACCGACCAATCCAAACTCAAGTCCTAGTCCAGACCGGTGTCGATGAAGAAGTAGTGTCCCTTCCAACCCTTGTTGGAAGTCTGGGTGCCCCTCATTGTAAACCCCTCCTGAGCTATGAGGTAGTACCTGTTAGCCCGCTTGCAGACTTGGAAGTAGGAGTGGAATAAATTCAAAATCAGGACTAGGCTGGCGTAGTAGCATTCCCTGATGAATACATGCGGATAGTGCCATAAGTTGGGCGCCATCTGAGAGGGAGAAATCCTCCACCATCGGAGGCACTCCAAGATGAAGGAAGGGGTGGAGGGGGAATTTGAGTTTAGCCTCTGGTGCATCGACGTTTGGAGACCCGAGACACAAAGCGGAGGACAGAAAGGCTGGAGTAAGAAGCAAGGTGGGGCTTAGGATGCAAGCAGAGCCCCACCGGCACGTGAGAGGCCGTCTTATATCCATTGAACCGCCACTTCGCCTTCTAGAGCATCGGCTCGACTCCTTAGGCTACCCAAGTTCTTGCTCAATGCAACACTTGAAAATTTTCCTGCCTAAGCTTCCCGCTCGATGCGATTTTCCCGCTAATGGGAACTTGACCAAGGGGGAGTTTGACGAAGCCCCCTCTTGGGCTATGCTTCAGAATATGCTTAAGACGCCCCTCTCGGGCTAAGCATGAAGATGCCCCCAAGGGTCCTCTCTCAGGCTAAGCATAAAGAGACATCGTCGAGGTGCCCCTCTCAGGCTAAGCATGAAGATGTACTCGAAGAGCCCCTCTCGAGCTAAGCATGAAAATATGCTCAAGGTGCCCCTCTCGGGATAAGCATGAAGATGCGCTTATGGTGTCACCCTCGGGCCAAGCATGAAAATGCGCCCAAGGCATCTCTCAACCGGTCCAAGCGTAAAAGGCACGACCGACGTGCTTGCGAAGGTGGCAAATTCGATGCCTGGTACACATAAGTCATCGGCACCGCAAGTGAGTCTCCCAACTGAGCCATGTCCCAAGTTGGAGCAGGGGCACGTCTTGACACCCAAAGACAAGCCCCGAAATGTACCTTAGGGGGGACAAATGATAGGGGGAAAAATCTACCCCTCCAATCATAGCTCGCCATGTGGCGAGGCCTCGAATGAGGTGACAATCATCTAAGCCCAGCAACACTGGTAAGCCCAAAAGAGAACATTTAGCCCATATTGCATAATATTCCCTTAGACCCAACCTATTATAAAGGCTCATTCTTTTACTGTTACAGAGGTCAGCTACTATTCATCCATGATCTTTTTCTTACTCTGGCCCTGCCTTAAGCGTCGAAGGAATCAAATCGGACACCCCACCTGACCTTGGTCTTCTTGCAAGTTGGTCATCGAGCGTGTAGACGAGTTCTCGACCTCCCTAGTCGGACATTCTCAGACCCTTGCACACATGGCCCAAGACAGAGTCTAGCTGACATAGACGTCACCAACATTTTACACTATCACCGAGAAAAACCTTGAATCATGAAAACGAACCTTCAATCACGTTCGCAGAGCAAGCTATAATAAATCATTCTCTTCTGCCATATTTACTAGCCTACATGCAAGGCTGCAACCCAACAACAAAAACTAGCTCGTTTCCCAATGGTAACATGATCCTACAACAAAGATTATCTACTAATGATTCAGAATTATAAACTGAAAGAATTTAGCAGGCAAAACTGTGAAAAATAGCAGACAAGATCTGATGATAGCTCAAAAATAAATATTGATAATGAGAAAGATTGAAAGACCAGACAGCAAAAATGTTACCAACAAAAAAGAAGAGATTATGAAGTTCGGAAATTTACAGGGTGCAGAACCTCCATCAGCCATGGTTTCCACTGCCGAACCCTTCGTGCCACCTCGGCAATCGCAGCGACCACCACCGGAGTCCGGCCCCAAAGACTTCTTGATACGGCTCTTAGGAATCACAAGCCCATTCGGCAAATTCTTCTTGCGTAGATCTCCTACCGAAGCGCTCGCCTTTTTGTGCCCTAAACCGCCGGAGTTCCTGATCCCCCCCTTGATCAGCGGCCGCAAAGGAAAGACCCGAACGCCATCCACCTCGCCAATGAGCATAAACCCCATGGAGAGCGTGATCGAGTAGATCGGCAGCGTGAGCTCCACAACCGCACACTTCACAAGATGGATGGTCGCCTCCGCCCCCGCGTCCAGCCTCGCGGCGAAGACCCAGATCTGGCTGGCGGCGATCGAGTGGACGACAAAGGCGTTGACCGAACCAGCGAGCCGCACCGAGAGGCCGTGCGGTAGGGAAAGTGCGACGGCGGATCGGCCGCGGTCGTTCCTGTAGTCGAGGCGGGCGGGGGCGAAGGCGGCGGCAGAGCCGCCGCGTGGGAGAAGGATCCATGCGCGGAGCTGAATGGAGGAGCCGGCAGCGAGGGGTGCGGCGGAGAGGAAGAGCACGGTGGCGGAGGGGAGGAGGCGGAGGAAGCATGCGGCGGTGGAGGGCGGGGGGACGGTGACTGGGGTGGCTGAAGACAAGAGGGACGGGTAGAGGAGGGCGGAGGAGTCGACGAGCATGAGGGAGAGGGAGCGGGATGAGGGCTCGAAAAGGACGGAGGAGACGACGGCGGCGGGGGAGGAGGGGGAAAAGGAGGATGGGAAGGGGAGGTCGAGCTTCGAGGCGTGGAGACGCATAACACCGCTCGCGAAGTGGTGGGTTGTCGCGCCGTCCTCGTCTTCTACTCAGCACCGGCACCCATAGCTACCGCTCCGGCTGACCTTCTGCTCCATCGCGAAAGGAGAGAGAGAGAGAGAGAGAGCGAGATTGGGATTTGGATGAGCTTGATGTGTGCAATGGATTCTAGGAACTCGTCCGAACAAGATTAGGATCGATGTCTGTCGCGGTGGCGTGCGCGATCTGTTGCTCTGTCGACTCCCCGCTCGCCACAGGATCAGAAACCGTGCGCCCTCCTAAACTCAACTCCTGCTCAGGTAAAGCTCAAGTTTGATCGATTGTTGACCACAACACTTGGGCTAACGGGCTGATAGACGGTAGGGTTCCTCAACGAGGCCCAATGCCACGACTCCCTAACGAGGCAGCAGCCGAAGATAAAGATTGCCGCTCCCACGGCATCTCTCTGCGCTGCCTCCCAACTGCTGCCCATGGCAGTGATCGTCCGATGGACGGCCTTCTCTCATTCCTCCCTTGCCTTCTTCCCCTGTCCCAGCGCTACTGCTCGCCTCTCTCTGCCCCGCCGTACCTTCTCCCGATTCACTCGCTGCCTCTCCCTCGCGACTTCTCCTCCGGCTTATCCGGAATCAGGTATCGGCTTCTCCTTCATTCGATCACCTGCGCTTTCCCCTTCCGATCTCGTATCTTCTTCTTCGCTTTGTTCTCAACGAGTGCATCGGTTTAGGCGATCCCACGAGCTCCAAAGTCCTGCTGAAGGGGATGGAATTTACCGAACTCGAAGTAAGCTCACTCGAGTCCTCCTTTTCTTCTCCTCCATTTAGGTGAATAAATATTTCAGATTGCTGTCATTGTTCTATGAATTTTGACTTGATATGTGGGGAAAAATTTGTGTTTGGGCAGAAATGGGTCAAGTCGCAAGGATTTAGGTCGGGGCAGGCATTGATGCTGTGGAAGTGTCTATATGGGAACAACAATTGGGCACAGAGCTGTGAGGAATTGGCAGGTTTTGTGCTATCTTGGTTTTCTTGCTTATATTGGCTTCCCTCCACCTTTTGTTATTGGAAATACAATGGTTTGATGGTTTAGTTGAGTTGCATTCTCTTTGAGCTAAAAGGAAGAATGCTTCCTATCCACTTCGTCAAACACTTTGTCAAACTCTCGCAAGTTTGACAATTAATTAGATAATATATTACATTTTCTGAGCAGTAACTGATTGGTGAGTACTGGCAATGTAATTTGGTTTAATCAAGGGTCAAATTGGTATTGAGAAGGGCATTGATCATACACAAGGGTAGTGTGGGTGTTTGGCTGGGTGTTTATCATGATCAGTGTATAAAGCATTTCTCAAGTTGAAGTAAGGCTGAAGAACCATTGTGCTACTTCTCAGTTTTCATACCTTGGATAAATGATATGTGGTTTTAGTGTCACACTTGTACTATTTTTATGTTTCTTTTGTGTATGCAAATTAACTCATATGGACTAGCTTGGAGGTCTAACTTTATAATTCTTGATAGGTTTAAACAAAGAATTTAGAAAGATGTTAAGTGAAAATTCTTCTCTTATGGCATTGTCAGTGAAAGATGTACTCACTGCATCTGACGGGACTCGAAAGGTAGGTCCAAGTTTTTCCTTTCCAGCTATCCAATTGTGGTTGATGTTGTAATTTGTTTTATATTTTTATTTGAGAACGACTATGCATGCTTTCAGAATATTCGAATTAATTTTTAAATTCGCAGGAGGTTGCAGATTTTGTTCACTTTGGATGATGGATCAGTGATAGAAACAGTTGTTATACCATGCGATAGAGGGAGGACTACAGTTTGTGTCTCTAGTCAAGTGGGTTGTGCCATGAATTGTCAGTTCTGCTACACTGGGAGGCATGGATCTTTTGTAGTATTAATTGATTGATTTCGTTTTTTTTCTAAATGTTGTTTGTATTATCAAGCTTGATTATTTGGATTTGGACATTTGGATATTAGCTAAACCTATTATATATTTTGATCTATCAGAATGGGCTTAAGGAAGCACTTGTCAACAGCAGAAATTGTTGAACAGGCAGTTTTTGCTCGCCGATTATTTTCAAGTGAATTTGGATCAATTACAAATGTAGTATTCATGGTAAACATGTTGTCTTATTTTTCTTAAATTCTCAGTTAACTTATTTATCAGTCAGACATAAAACTTAATGCAGGTATTTAACCATTATGTTAGCATCTGAATTTGTACATATGGATCTTAACTGTCAGCTAAATCTTTGATGATAGAAGCTTTAGAAAACATTGAGAAGGTGATGTAAACATGGTTTGATCATCAATGGACAATGGCGGAAATTATAGAATCAGGAATATATGCATGTAAACTTTGTGACTTTATAAGCCAACTGAATGTGAAACTTTATAGTCCTATGGATGTGATAAAGGTGGAAGTATCTCAAAACCATTTTCAGTGAAGATAGTAAAGATCATATTGCTAAGAACTTAAATGCAATTTTTGGTGTCCATGTTCTGTCACTTGTTTGGTATATGCATATTATTAGAGCTATCTGTGGTACATGATTAGTTTCACTTTAAATGGGATATTTATTCCTAATGGTCGTGGAGCAACTGACCAAGGGTCTGTTTTACTTACAGGAAACTAACTTTATAATTAAGATGATCAAAGTTTCTTCAAAAGGATTGTGCATCACCAGATTCTCTTTTTTTCCCTCTCATTATTCTTTGTTGCTTTTTTAAATAAAGACTCCAATAAACTAACTATTTAATGTATATGACTTTGTTTTTTCATACTCATCATAAGAGGAACCTTTTAGTAGGAAGTTAGGAACCTAAAGTTCCATTTTATACATTTTGACACTTATATTATCATAATTAAGCTGTTGTGTAAGTAATGTGGAATCGTAAAATATCTAGGACAATCATATGGTGAGTTGCAGTTAATGTGGGTTGAGAAAACCTACTTGATTGAACTTGAAGATGGTCAATTAATGAGTTGGGCTTGGAATTTCAGACCTCAACCAAAGTTGTGTTGGCCTTGGCTTTAGTGAGTGTTGGGGTACCTGATTCAACTTGAACAGATTCACATGTACCTTCGGATTTGTATATCATGAAATATATATGAAGCTCTGAATATTTTTGTGCATTGAAATGACTCTTGCAATTAGCCAGAGCAAATGCAATTCATGTTCCAAAATCAGCTTTATAGTTCACTTCCTCTATTCAGTATAACCTGCAGGAATCTACCCAATCCAAATCTAGCCTGAATTCCAGAAGCTGAGATCAGATTTGACACTTGTTGATGATACTAAAGATAGGTCAAATTAGAATACATTCTACTGTCTCAAAAATTTGTGTTTTGCTTAGAAATTTATTAATGAACCAGACCTGCTGGAAATATACACACATCTAGATCTATCAAGAAGCAACAGGGAGTTGCCTCTAGTACTTAAGGTGTTGGATAATTGCTTTTGTAATTGGTTCTCATTTTCTTGTGTAGCTTAGCTGTATAGCAACCAGTTTCTTTTTTCTTTTTCTTATAACATTTGGTGACATCATTATTTGTAGCTTTCTCTTGTAACCATGATAACTTGATCGTTTTATTTAGGGCATGGGTGAACCACTGCATAATATAGATAATGTCATTAAAGCGGCAGCCATAATGGTGGATGAGCAAGGCCTTCAATTTAGCCCAAGGAAGGTGACTGTCTCAACCAGTGGACTTGTCCCTCCGTTAAAACGGTTTCTTCGGGAATCAACATGTGCATTAGCAGTTAGTCTAAATGCTACAACAGATGAGGTGATTCCTGGAGTTACTTTGGAACATCAACTTCTTTAAGTTTTGTATGGAGCAAACCAGCTAATATTATGAAATGCAGGTAAGAAATTGGATCATGCCTATCAACAGGAAATACAATCTTAGCCTGCTTCTTGAGACATTGAGGGAGGAACTTTTATCCAAACACAAGTACAAAGTACTATTTGAGTATGTGATGCTTGCAGGAGTAAATGACAGGTTTGAGTTGCTTGTAATTCTCTTTTAGAATACAGGATCTCTTTAGGACATGACATCAATATAACAACATTTTGTGTCCTGCTAACACAACAGACGCGTGTTACCTACCATATGGTAAGAGGGAAGCCTAGTGCATGAGATCCAAACTAGGGTTTTTGGGAGGTCTAAACATGCAGACTCTTATACTTTCCTGTGGATTCACCATTTTTGTGATGTGAACCCTTGAAGCCTGAATCTGAATTAATATTATCATTGCACTAAAGTTTGTGAGCACTTGTAGCACATGTCTCATTCACAAAGTAAGCACCTGCAAGAACTTGCTCAGGGAATATAGTAACATCCTCATTCCTCTGATGCTTCCAAAAGTCAGTTCCTGCTAGTACAAAATGATATTACTGGCGCATGTTTATGTTATATTATCTGTGGCAATTAATATTGGTCATCATATGCATATGAATCACTTGGTCTACCTGTGTTTTTTTCTTTTTTGTGGTAGTGTTCTTCTTTCACATGGAACCTACGTTGTCTGCATCTGATATCTGCAACTTGACACTAATTCTATTACAGCATGGAGGATGCAAAGAGGCTTATAGAACTTGTTCGTGGGATTCCTTGCAAGATAAATCTCATTTCATTCAACCCTCACTGTGGAACACAATTCAAACCAACTCCAGAGGAAAAGATGATAGAGTTCCGCAATGTCCTGGCCGAAGCTGGGGTCGTAGTTTTCTTAAGACTTAGCAGAGGGAATGATCAGATGGCTGCTTGTGGTCAGCTTGGGAAGCCTGGGTACATCCAGCCACCTTTGCTTCGTGTTCCTGAGCGATTTCAAACGGCTGTATGACATCCAAGGATGTTTTTGGTGTTGGATGGAAAGGATGAGGTGCTTTAGATGCAAATGATACTACAGTTGTTATAGCTGTTTGTTACATTGTTTGGAATTGCTTAAGGTGCTGTGGAACTCCTAAATGACAGATCAATTCTCTAGAAGTTGTTTATGCTGAAGTTATGGATTGCAAATAGTCTGTATTCTTGAGACACTGTTCCATTTTACTCTACTGTCTCAAGGAACATTTGAGTTAGAATATATTAATTTATCTTTTGAAAAATTGTTATTATGGGAGTGCAAATGTTATTATTACTCTACTGTTCTCTCTTTTGTGCATACGATCATAGTTTCTCATAATGATCTTTTGTAATACTATTAGGAGAGAGCTCTAATGTAGAGAAGAATCTATAGAAACGATGGTTTATTGTTTTATAAACCTTAAAATCTTGTATGGTGATGGATACTAATGTTTTGTTTTTCAGATTAATCATATCATAAAAAGAAAATTGATATATCTGAATCTTTTTTGAATTTATATTTATTTTTGACTTTTCTTAGGTAAGTTGATAATAATTTAAAAAACGAAGATTATTCTGATGAATATCTTCTGCTGCAATATAAACATAATGCCCTATAAATAGTTCAGAGTTTGGAGGATTCAAAGGATGCATTACTTTCATATAAAATTTAGAAGCATGAATTTCTAGAAGAAAAAAAAAGTGTATATTAAGGTGATTCATTTTTAAATGAACTCCAATTTTGATTTTTTATTATTGAATATTCTCTTTTTCATTATACATAGCATTTTATTAAAATATAATACATATATATGGGAAGACGATGATTATAATAATAAGAGCATTTTAAGTTGAAAAAGTCCTCAGAGTTATGCTTTTACCAAAGGATGCTCCTAATTGATTTTTACATGGGGTCATCCCTTTTTGATCAATTTGATGAAAATATCTTGTCGGTCGCCCTCGATCGTTGTCATCACTAACCCTTTGATCGCGAGTGACGTCACTCGTCGCCTCTTCCTTTCCTCTTCTCTTCCTCCTCCCATCGCCCACCCAGTCTTGTCCGCATCCTCTATCACTTGAGTAATCCAAATAAAGAGAAGATAGGTGATGAGGGCACCAAAGGTAAAAATAATGGAGAAGTGAGGTCCATGATGAGGGTCTCATGAGCGAGGCCATTCCTTATCTTCGATCACGAGGAAAAGGGAGCAACGGAGGGTAGCATGAGCAAGGAGCTCTCAACGTGAGGATAGGAGAGAGGTGATCGCTACGATTATGGTCTTATTGAGGAAGAGGAATAAGGCTACCACCCATGATAGTGCTATACAAAGACGTTAGTGAAAAACGAGAAAAGAGAAATGAGGAGTAGGGAAGGAAAGAGGCGATGACCGACGCTACTCGGGGTGATGGGGACAACAAAGGCAATTATAACCGAAGATAATTAGTAGAGAACAAAGGATATTTTCATCAAATTGATTTAAAAATTTTCTCAACATAATTTTTTTTTTGGGTACAACAACAACAACAACAATAATAATTGGTTGAGCAAATGGTCTTAAAATAATATATTGTATTAGATGAAGTGAAAAAAAAGAAAAAAACTAAATTACTAAGAAAAGGATAAAAAAAAGGCGCAAAAATTACAACTTCAAATGAAAACCAAGAAATGTCTCGGTTCCAATCACGTTGCGTGGTTCGCCTTGTGATAACGATAAGCTTAACCCGTCCTCGCCAAACCCCCAGGCGAAGCCCATGGGGAGTTCGACGGCAACCCTAACCCCACTCCCCTATCTCCTCTCCTCCCTCCTCCCACCCAAGCCCTTGACCCTCCTCCTCCCCGCTCGTCGCCCGGGCACGTCCGGCGGCGGCGTGGCGAGATCCACGGTGGTGGTCGGGTACATGGAGCGGAAACCCAACTCCCTCGCCGGGTTCGCGAGCAAGGTAATCGGGTCGCTCCCCGTGGTGGGCCTCGTCGCCCGGATCTTGAGCGACGAGGGGGGCGTCGCCGACGACCTCATCGACTTCGCCGAGTTCCGGCGTCGGGTCGGCAAGAAGTGCAGCATCACCGATTCCAGAGCCTTCTACGAGTTCCAGGACCGCCGCGGTCGGGTTCGTGTCTCCAAATTCTCCCTCTTCTCCGTTCTTTGCAAAAGCTTTTGATGATTCCGTTGGTTGGGCAGGCAGGGGATCCACTGTATGTTCTTCTCTGTTGCTGGTTGGCCGCGGTTGGTGCTGGACTTCTGAAGTCCGAAGAGATACTGGAAGGGGTGGCCAGGCTTCGCATTTCAAATGATATCGAGTTTGAGGAGGAGACTTTCTTCGCCATGATGACTACTGCAAGGGAGGTCAGTGTTCTGTTAAAAGATTCACCCTGAGATTATGTGCAAACTCCGGATGGCAATCAGTATTTATTGCTTTCATTTTTTTCTTTTATATGTTGACTAGTCATGTATATTCTCTGTGGTGACTTACATGAAGAACTTGCTGAATAATTGGTGTGGTTGGACAGGTTGATTCAACACCTGATCTCTAGCTAGGCCTTAAGGTCCAGTTGGGTACAACAATGAAATGATCAGGTAAGAGAGATAACCTGGAAATCCTGCCAAACAAGTTAGTTCCCTCTGGAGAGTAGTACTGGATCTTAATCTTGGTTGACCTCCAAATATGTGGAATCAGTGTATAGACAGAAAATGAGAGAGAGTCTTCTATATAGTCTGGTCTTGGAACATTATTCAGCTAGCTTTTTATCCAGACTTAGGAGGTCATTTGCCTCAAAAAAAAAAATCCATGTCTATTCTGGATACAGAAAAAGTGCTTTTGTTTCCTTAAATAATGTGGGAGGGAGATAACTTAGGTGCTTATTGTTGCTTATAAAATTTTAGAAGCTCTTATATGGACATCTGTTTCAATCTAGTCTAATGGCTGGAGAACAGAGAGGATATTGGTCGACTTGGCAGTGGCAGATCTCATCATCACCAATAATGGTATGAGAGCAGGAGGGGCCTCAGCTAGGGTCTTTGGTGGTGGTGACGGCTCTCATCACTTGTGTCACTCGACAGAAATAGCATGGCAGAGGAGTGGTGTGGCTTCGATGGCTTGGCTCGTTGGTGGAGCAGTGAGTCCAGGAGGTGGGGGAGAGGTTGCAGCTATCTATGGAACTGTGAAAGTGAGAAAAATACAGAAAAGGGGAAGGAATGATGTTTTACACAATTCTTATAACTTCTTCTAATAGATGAATGCCGTGGTTGTCGTTAGCTATGTACAGAAGGAAGAGTTGGGCTGATGTATAGATAACGAGAACAGTAAATTAAAGGATAAAGAAAGAGACGGGCTAACACTTCCGAAGAAAAAATATCATATAAAGAGAAATAAAGAATAAAATAAGGCAAGGATGAGTTGGATCTAGTCAATCCTGATCCACATCCTATCTTATATATACTGGATCATGTCATTAATGTCAGATCATCAGTTTGCAATCTAGATCCTTTTCCTGTTTCAACTGTGTCCGATTAGGTCATATGCACCCTTGATAGCTATGACTGACAGTATGTATGTATTTTGAACTTTTGTCTTGTTGTAAATGTGAGTAATCTCCTTAAAGCTTTGGCTGTGTATATGATGACTATAGACTGTCCAAGTCTGCTGCTATAATGTGTTCCTAGTTATTGCTTTTTATAGAAATATGCATCTAGCAATTGTTGTCATGTCTAATTTTTTAGATGTGTAGTACGGCATCTATGTTCCTTCTGTATGCCCATGTTTCATTTCCGATCAGCTAATTAGATCTCAAAGTCTGGATGGCCACTAAAAAGGCAACTTATAGCTAATACTTTCCGTACCTAACAATGGTTTTGTTATACAAATATATATATATATATATATATATATATATATATATATATATATATATATATATATATATATATATATATATATATATATTGTCTTAGTGTTCTGTTGTTGTGCCAATGACCTTTGCGTTACTTTGAAGTGCCTATTTTGATCACAGCATGACAGGGAGCATTGAATAGTACCTGACTATTAAAGATGAGAAATTAATAGTTTCAAATCTTGGATGCCAGAACCTGATGTGCATAATGCTTGGACTTTAGCTAATGTCATAGCCTGTTATACGAATTCATATCTCATGGACTTGCTTGTGTGTGTGTATATATATAGAGAGAGAATAAATTAAGATGAACAATGACTGAACTCGGTTTCTCATGTTGTCCAGAGGCGAACAAAACTGAAGGCTGCAACCCCAGAAATCCCTATGGAGATTAGAATTGAGAAAGCGCTGGAGGCTATTTACGTCTGCTGCTTTGGTAAGGATACCATAGAAGAAGAGGATGTCAGATTACTGTGTAATATGTTACATGCAGTTTTCCCTTCAGTCAGGAAGCAAGAGATTGATAGAATAGTCAGTTCCATGGTAAACCAAATAGCTACAGGTGAGAGAACAAATTATCCAGAGCCAAAATCTTTGTCCAAAGAAGCCATAGAGCGGCAAATGAAGGACCTCGAGTTTCTGCAACAGAAGAGCGAAAACTCGAGCTAACCTTCCTGATGTATCCGAGTCTCTCTTCTTACCAATGCAGTAGTAGTTTGCATACACCATTCTTGTTGATATTTCTTTCGCTTGTCCGTATGACTTTTGCAGAGCTTTTCATTATCTGGTGAAGCAATTCTGTTTTTTTTCCTTTTTTTTTCGGAATATTTTATTTTGTTAATGCGTATACTTTGTCCTTCTAAATTTAAATTTAATGTATACATATTCTTGCAAAACTCAAAACCTTATTGATATTTGTTTTAATTGATTTCCATCATCATTATCATGCGAGCACAATATTATCGAAATTTCAATTTGTTATTAACTGAAGTATGAGGAAAAAAATGGCACGCGTGAATACTTTTGATGAGTGGTGCTCCACTCTGGTGCCGATGTGGTGCACGAAGTGGCTGCCATGTCATTGACAACACATCAAGAACGTGCCTGCATTGGAGGAGAGAATGCCTCGATCATTCTCCATGCCACGACGAGTACCTCCGACCAAACTGATCAGCAACTGCCTTCTCATGTCCTCTATGTCTCGGCATTGATGAGCTAAGTTCCAAATCTGAAGAAAATGGCAACTGATTGCAGCAGCTATCTGCCCTCTATTTCCTTTTCAAGATTTTTAATTTTGAGTACTGGACTCGTGTTGATTTATATTAGACCGATATATATGTCCATCATACACTGGCATATTATTTTATGTCCATAGATCCGTACATATTAAAGTCTGTCATGAATAATCCTATATTCCTCTATCTTATACTATGTTATTAGTCTAAATTATTTATAAGTCTTTTTAAATGAATTTATATTTTTATTTATTTATAATCTGATAGTAAAACAGAATATTAATTCATTACTTATCACCAATCAGAATGAAAAGATGACCTAATCAACTGTATGTTGTTTTCTTGCTCGAAACTCAAAAAAGGAAAAGGCTGCATTTATTATGAGGTCTCACTCCAAAGCTACACAGCATATAAAAAGTATATGCAGATAGAGCAGAAGGATAAAGGCTAAGGAAGAGGAGAGTGGGTGCTCATGCAAGCCTCTTGAAAGTAGCTTCAGAAGACGAGTTAGCAGCAACATATACGTATGCGTAGGACATTAATAGGGGTCAGAGAAGGCTCGCACCATCGCCATTGCATCGGTAAAGGCAAAGTCATACGGACAGAGCAAACGTGAGGGAGCCAAAGATGGGCGCGGGCGAGGGCGGCTCTCATGGCAGCCAACGAATCGTCACATCAGTTTGGGGTGGGGAGCTGCTTCCTCCACTGCCCTTCTCCTCCACACAATTCCAGCAGCATCTTCTCACCATCGTAGTTCTCTCAGTACCTTCAGAACCAGCTCGAGAGTGTGATGGCCTATAATTGCAGCTCAGTTTGTTTGTATTTTGCAGCAGCAATATCTTCTCTCTTTCTTCTTTTTCCTTCATTTCTTACTGATGATAAGTGGCTACACAACAAGCTTAAGTGACATGACTTATAATCGCAGTCGAGTCAGATCCAGCAGGAACATGAAGTTTGTTTGTTTGCTTGTATTTGGTGCTGTCATGCATGTAGACTCATTCATTATGGCTCTTGCAAGTTAGCATCTCAAATGTGTACTGCCTGTGTTTGGGTGTGTAGCATGAGAGCATATCTAGTTTGTGATTTAGAGAGCAAGTGCAGCAAGCTAGCCTTCCTTCCCGCTGCTCTTGGTCACTGCCTCTATCATCTTTAATCTGCCATCTGCCTCCTCCTGTGTTCGTTCATGCCATTGGTAGAAGCAAGAAGTGCCTCCTCATAAAGATGAAGAAAACCTTCTCTGGGGATACAGTGGAATCCCCAGTTTTGTTGTCGCTACTTGTTGAGGTATCTGCGGCTTATTTGGGAAACCAACATCAGGAGTGTCTGATGCAATCTTTGGAGGCTGATGGAAGTGATTCCACCTCCTTCGATCGATCATTATGAGATCATGGATTCGTATCATATTCAAAGTCTCTTCGACGTAAAGAGAGAAATTAATCATCCCTGATTGTTAATATATTATCACAATAATATAGTATGTGTTTTCCTAAAAGGAGTTTTAGGAAGCAATTTCTTGATCACAGCACAAGAGAAAAGGACCTCCGAATCTTTGAGCAGATTTAGACGAATCTTTGTCTCACAAGATAGCGCGAGATTTGGTAGGTCAATTGAGGTTTTCTATAGCTTTGATATGATGGCTCGGCCGTACCTTCATAGATGGGAATCCACCGGTCAGTGTTGTCAGAATGGAAACCCTAAGCTACGGTCCTCAGCTCTCTTGCAAACCCTCTTAAGCTCAACACCAGAGGAGAAGCCACGCTCTCTTCCTCTTCTCCTATCTCCTTCTTCTTCTTCTTCTTCTTCTTCTTCTTCTTCTTGCCATGGACTTGGTTTGTCCCATCGAGCACCTTTGCTACGTTCGTTGCACCTACTGCAACACTCTTCTTGCGGTAATTTCTTGAAGTGAAACCCGGTGATGAAGTCTTGGATAGGAAGATGGACTTCTTCAAGTGTAGATTGATGCACAAGAAGCACACAAACACATGTTTCGATGTCTTTAGGAATAGGCAGTTCAAAATGAGTTTCAGCTTCCCTTTCTTATCTTTGTCTCTGGTCGTTTTGTTACCTCTTGAATGCGCAATCCGTAAAAGCCACTGCTGAAAGTGAGGTTCTCTTCAATTCTTGTCGACATTGTTCGCCACAAGTAAAGTTCCTCCACAGCTACGTCCATTTCTCTTCTCTTAGATTCGCCATGTAGAAATAGATGGAGAGATATGAGAAGCTCCTCTCAATTGACTGTTTCTTTCTTGTCCTAAGATATCATGGTTTGGAGTTGGATTCCCCAAACTTGTTTTAGAGTACATGATACATGATAAGAAGCTTCATCATCTCATGCATCCGGAGTTTGTTGTTAGGTCTCTCTTCATGATCATCTTGCTCCTTAATTTTTTCCCTCACCAACAGTTCTCCAGTCTCTGATCAGTTGCCTCAGCTACATTTCTTCTTCTCAGCATCTGTCAACCTAATGAATGAGTCAAGAAGATCCACTTGAAACAGCTACGATCCTTAACCTAATGAAAAGAGTGTGATGGCCAATCCCTTTCCCTTGTTGCTGTCATTTCCAACAAAGAGATTTTTTGAGCTCCTCCACATGCCAAATGAGAGCTTCTGCAAGTTATTGGATTCTCACTTTTCTGTCACGTATAAAAGCCTATCATGTGTTGCAGGTTGGAGTTCCATTCAGGTGGTTGATGGACAGAGTGACTGTGAATTGTGGTCACTGCCACCACTTGTCCTTTCTCAGTCCTGGAGATGTAGTGCAGTGCATTTGCCCCATCAGCCACCTGCAGATGAGTCTTCAGGTTCATATTCCAGTCTAATAAACTTCTCTCACCCACAACTGAATCCTCCTGTGAAAGAGAAACAAAAGTGTTTGTGGGATACATCTACTGTTCTTGAAGTATTTTGTTCTCCTCAATGCCAGACTTACAAGAGAATACATGAACTAACTATCTCTGTCAATTACTGTATCATTCGAAAGCAGCTCAACAAGGGGAGACAAGTATTTACTCTCATATGACTGTTTCCTTCATATACTGTGAATTAGGGTCCTTGCTTTGGCTCAAGGAGAGAACCACCTTCACTGCGGAGATCATCGACTTCAGGTGAGCAGTTCAAGAAAGCACCATTTGTTTTGTATGATGTAGTAAGCTTCCTGATAAGGTTCCATTGATGCTTTGGCTTCATAAGTCTCACATTTGAATTCAATCTGTTGATCACAGTGCCAAAGAAACACAGAGCACCATCAGCTTACAATCACTTCATGAGGTAAAGATTAAAGCTGTAGATGTTCTGCATGCATTTGCATAAGCCAAGCAATATAATCTGTGTGTCCACATGTTAATGCTAGAGAGGAAATACAGCGAATCAAGGCAGCCAAACCTGACATACCTCATCGAGAAGCCTTCAGCATGGCAGCAAAGAATGTAAGAGATCAACCAAACAACTCATCTCCTTAGCCTTGGATCGTAAACTTAGCTTGTTCTCTGTCTGTGTATTGCAGTGGGCTAATTCTGATCCGCGCAACTCATCTGATGTTTAGATGTAAGATCAACTGCCTTTCCTCGGGTAGCAAACTTGCCTCATTCTACTCTTGATCTGATGGTGCAGGAAAGAAGCAATGGAGGAAGCTCTATTGGTTTTGAGCTAATGGAACACAAAGATTAGGTTTCCTGGTGGATGCATCAATCTCTTTCGTACTGATGTGCTTCAAATTTTGTGGAATTCATCTCAAAACTTTCCGTAAATAAGATCTTGAAGTATGTTTGATGCTTAGGGTGTCAAATGATGAATCAATTAGTATGGAATTAAAGAAAGATGTATGTATGTATGTATGGCATATAAATATGAGGGCATCGCTTCTTAATTCTCTATCAAGAAGGGTTTCATTATGTTGCTTACATCTAATTGTTAATGATTCACCATTGATCAGCCATCATATAAGAATCTATGCATCATAGAAAGAGAGAAATGAGCTAATCAATATCTTTGCATCTTTAAGAAAAGATTAACTTAGCATCAACTTAGATGACAAGAAATATATAATAAAAGAAAAGAAGACGATCGTTTTTATTATGGCTAGTCTTTAAAGAAGAAGAAGAAGAATACCACGACACATGATTCATTGGTATAACCTCAATACGACGCTCTTCTTTTGCCCCGAAAAAACAAGAAATACCAAAAAAATATTCACATATTTTTCGTGAAACTCATAAACTTTGGTGCGCGTCGCTATACATTGATCCTTTTACGCTATCGAATCGAACCGTATCTTTTTTTGCCATGCCAATTTGAAAAAACAATTAAGCAAAATGAGTTTTTCTCGTCCAACAAAAAATAATCTTCTCTAAAGTTTTTCTACCAGTTTTGTGGTGAAATAAATGTAAATTGAAGCACAAATTTCAATTGGTGTGGCTCAAAAGGGTGACAAAGAACAAATGAGGTGTGATGTGCAAGGCAAAGTTCACTGGGTCTTCTTACATCAGGTGATAACTTGAAAACAATCAATGATTAATGTTGAGGAATAATATTTATTACTCACAACTCAATAGTAGTAAATAAGATATTATACTAATTTAGATAGCTAAACAAATTCTTTTGGAGTTAAATAGCATCAAATAATAGACAATCTGAAAACATTAGAGGAGAGGATAGGCACACAGAAATAATGACTGAGGCTGCCTTCTTCCAACGCCATATTGTAGTCAAAGCAGCCACTCATGCTCCCCCATATGTCCATGAATGGTACGCCAGACTAGCCATTTTACTAGGCCATCAGATTGTCTCTGTAGCATACACATATATGTATCTTATAGAGAGAGAGAGAGATGCAAGAAAAGAAGAAACCAAGTAACTCCTTGTGTTGCAACCAAAAACAACTGTTGGGTTCCTTAGAAGTGATTGGAATTGGATTCAGCGTAAGCAACTTTGCGCTGTTGGGATGAAGAAGGTTAACGCAGATAGGCGGAGGGAGGAGTGAGCTCGCCTGGTGCTGCGATGGAGACACCGCAAGTTGCAAGAAAAGGGCGACGGGGGGAGGACGGCCACCGTGCTCGAATTGGCCACCGTGGTACTGCGTGGGTGCCACGTTTCGACCTCACACGGGCTCGTCGATCTCCTTGGTACTGGGAGCGTGCACTGTCCCGCCACGTTTCGATCACGCACGGGCCCGTCAATCTCCTCCTCCTCCTCCTCCTCCTCCTGCCCTCGTGTGAGGTCACGTCCCCTCTTCCTCCTCCCTCCCCCAAACTGGAACTCATCCCTGCCTTTTGCTTCTGCAGCCACGCGGTGTCTCTAATCCACCATGGCGTCCTTCCTGCTCACCCTTGCAGCCTTCGTTGAGTGCTGCACCACAGTGACTGCAGCCCCAGCCTTCCCAGCGGCAACGGACGGCGGAGATTCTGGACTCGCGTCGCGTTGATGCAGCAGAAACAATTATAGCTACGAGGCTTTCGTACGTGCAGCGTGCACGCGCGTGGTGCGGGATGCCTTCTTCCTACCATTTCTGTGTACCCGCTTCGTGATCAGAGGAAGGGAGACGCATCTGATGGGACCCGCGCCGGTAACTCGTGAGCGGGGATGCAAAAGAAAGGCGTGAGCGTCTCTTTCCTAATTCGGAGCGTGTTTGGCCACCACCGAGTTTCTTCTACCCGGTGGGACCCGGGCCAGTGGTACTGTAGGTTCCAAAACGATTGGTGGGTCCAGGTATCGGTCTCGCCGAGCCATGTCCTCGGACGCCTCGGGCTCGGGTCAATGCTGAGGCGAATAACGAATGCACAGTGGTGTCGTCCAATGGGAGCGCGCCATGACCGGCCCCCACCTGTTCCAGCCACTAGAACGTCGACAACGTATAAACCGAAACCACTCCGGTTTTACAAAACCACCTTCCTCTCCGGATCTGGGAGTCACCCTTCCCTCCCTCCCTCTATAAATAACGAGAAGGCGAGGAAACGTTGCTAAGGAGAGGAGTGAAGGGGGAAAACGAATAGGAGGAGGGGGCGGTTTCTCTTCCACTCGCGTCGCTTTAGTCGTACTCGAGTTAGGGTTTAAGGGAGGAGGAGATCGGATTGGGGAGGAGCGATGGGGAGGGGGAGGGTGCAGCTGAAGCGGATCGAGAACAAGATCAACCGGCAGGTGACGTTCTCCAAGCGTCGATCGGGGCTGCTCAAGAAGGCCCACGAGATTTCGGTGCTCTGCGACGCCGAGGTCGCCCTCATCGTGTTCTCCACCAAAGGCAAGCTCTATGAGTACTCCACCGATTCCAGGTACCCGCTTCGCCCTCCATCTCTCGCTCGATCTTCTCTCATTCATGTTCTTGTTCTAAGAAGGATGTTTCTTGCGCGACCAGCCCGTGATTCCGGGTTCCTGATTGACCCGGATCATTGTTCTTGCATGATCTTAGGTTTTCCAATCAAAATCGATTTCTTTAGCCTCCTATGGATGTCATTCCCTCTTCTTCCTGATTCGTCTTGGAACTGAGGGTTTGATGTGCATGCATGGGGTATTCCATTGGCGGCTTGCCGCTAAGAGCGGATATCGAGTTTGACATTAGTATCAAGCGCTGCTACCTTCATCTAATATTGCGCAACACTCCGGAGCAGTTCCGGGTGGGGTACGATCTTAGTGGCTGCCGTCCTTCGAGGCTCGGCCTAGCTCGATTTATGTCCACAGATTTCGTACTCCTCGTCTTCCCCCCTCTCTCTCTTTCTTTATCCGTACACTGCTGTGTAAATATAGCTTGTTTGCTGTCGTACACAGATGGACAGTGGTGATCGACTGTGATTTGGGTAGCTCAGCTCGGCTTTTGAAGTATGAGTTCCCACTGTTTCTGGCAAATCTTGCATTCGTGCTTTCCTCTGAGCCGCTTAAGAGCTGCCCGTGCTATCGAGCCTCATGTAGTTCTCGATGATTCTGGAGGTTGGTGCCATCCAGCGGTGCACTGCTTCACTCATTAGAGACCAGACACAGTACCAATTACCGTACGATCTTGTCCCAAGTTGAATACCGGGCACATCCGCGGTTCATTGTTGCAGTAGCCGGTGCGAAATTTCTGAGCCACTTGTTCTGCTTCTATAGAAATCAATGCCTTAGGATATTGAAATTTCTGAAAGATCATGCAAAACTTAGTTAGCACGATACCAAAAGCAGATATTTATTCTGGGTGCGTATCTTCCCATCAGAATCATGGTCCCCCTTGTTGGTCTCTTCCTCTTTCGTTACATCTTTAACCATTCTCACACTTCAGGCGACCCCCTACTGTGTCTGACACGCCTTTTACTGTTTCCCTTTGGTGCCTAGCATGAAAAACCCATTTTTTTTATCGTTTGCATTCCCACATGATGATACAGTGATATTCCTTTCTATCTACCAATATCGACCATGAAATCTATCTGCCGATCTGAACCCACAATTTCCCTGCACTAGACTTGTCTTTTTGCGTTTGTGAAAATATTTCAATTTTGCCTTTGCTTTGCTTATTAGGGGATTATCTAATTTATCTATGTAACTTTGGTTGCTCCTTTATCCTATCTGACACATTCCCCCTTGCCCACTTTGTAGGTTTTGTTTGTCAGTAATTGGATGGTGCAAGTATGTTAAGTTTAGGCCAACTTAATGAGGCAAATCAGTTTGAATCAAATTCAGCTTCTAATTCTTTTTTACTTTTGTTTCTTAACATTTTCTGCATTACATGCACCTCAAGCTTTCAAGTTTCATCACAGAATATGTTCAAAGGATAGGAAAATAGTAGTTGATACCGCCCTGTAAAGGACAATGGCCATCCGCTAGATTTAAAGGGTACTTGAGACTTTATGGTAGGTCGACAGTAGGGGGCCCTAAGTGGATATAATTTTAGTAGGCCCTAAACAAACAACTGAAGTGTCATAGACTGTTTAAGAATTTTCCAATGATCTATTGGAACTAAAACCTATTAGGAACATGAAATGGAAATGATCAAATATGATAAACGCCAGAATCATCAAATAAAATTGGTAAACCCTGCATGTACCAACTAAAACTGTTGAGTTGTAATGCAATTATTAATGTAGGATGAACTTTCATACCGAAAATTTTCTAGGATGATAGTTGTTTGATAGGAAAAAGAAGATATGAGAGATAGAAAAAGATAAATTACGAAATTATTCTAGCTCAGTGAGAGACTTGGACGATAAAGATCTTGTACCCTCATGCGTCACACATGGATGATGGGAACTTATCATCGAGAAAATTAAATGTAACTTCACACCACCCAAATATAACATGAAAAAAACTTATTCTTTATTATGAATCCTTTTCTTTAGAACCCCCAAGTGTAAGAACAGAAAATCAATAAAAGATTCTATCCCATAAATCAAAAGATATATATCATTTCATATTTCTTTTTTACGGAAGATGTATTTTCATTTTTTTTCTTTCTGAAGTAATATTTTTTGTTAATAAAATATATGATTGATGATCTTTCTCCTTCAATAAAAAATTATCTTTAAATAAATCTGACATATATATATATATATTTTTATAAAACTTCAATCAGTATAAGATGTGTCTCTTTTCTCTTTTAGCCAATTTCCTTATTCTTTTTATTTGAACAGTATCAGTAATTCATAGAAGATTATATCTATATTGAGACATTCTAATAGTGAGTGTACAATTTTACAAATGATAGATCTCAATTTTGAGTCTATGTAAGAACATCTAGATTTTTTATTAAAAAAACTATTGTGAGATTATGAAAATTATTATCCTTTGAAAAGTTGTGAATTTTTCAAAATACTTGTTAAACCATCTATCCTAAACTTACCAAGGCTAGTCCAGAAGACCTGTTTTAGTGAAGAATATACAGAAAATATAGCATGGTGTAGGGAATTGATTTGGTAATTTCTTATAATTGTTAGGAGTATAAAAAGATATATGAAAGATAGAGATGTTTATTTAGCGAAGTTACTTCACCCCGACATATTGATTAGAAAGACAATCTGGGAATGCAAGACCTTGGAGGTTTTATAATCGAGTAGCAGATAAATCAGCATGAATGAATTCTGATATATATGAGATACTTCCTGGATGTTCTTTGATAAATGCTTCTTGGCATGAGAAATTTATGAGGCATATCTAAGTTGGCTAGAAGAGACCATTACAAACTTAGAGTCAATAATGCTAGTCCTTGAGCTTTTGAATTTTACATCAATAATATAAAAAGGAAAACTAAAAGTTATTTTTTTTTTACCTGCAGTATGGAAAGGATTCTCGAACGTTACCAGCAATACTCGTATGCTGAAAGAGCCCTTTTAGAAGCAGATACCGAGGTTCAGGTAGCATATCATCAAAGACCTGCTTCAAAGCCCCAATGCTTCATACAGATAACTAAAAGCATGTGAATGTTATACATAGGGAAACTGGTGCCTTGAATATGGGCAACTGAAGGCAAAGATTGAGGCACTACAAACGAGTCAAAGGTACAGAGAGATGTATTGCAAATCTGTTGTTTCTCTTGTACAAAGATGTTTTTCCTTCTTTATGGAAAGTTTCACAGAGATGTTACATGCACCGTCTTTTTGTGCCATTTTCAGGCACCTCGTTGGTGAGCAACTCGAAAAGTTGACACTTAAAGAACTCCAACAGCTGGAACAACAACTTGAAACAGCTTTGAGAAAAATAAGGTCAAGAAAGGTGAATTGATGTCATTTACAAAACATAGCCTCCCTCCTCGCTCGAACAGTCTAATTTTGTGATGTCAATTTGTGCATGCAAAGTCAGTTTCTAATGCTTTTTTCAATTTTTGCAGAACAATGTGTTGTTTGATTCGATTCATGAGCTTCAAAGGAAGGCAAGTCCGAAACTCTAATGACATGTGAACCCATTCATGTTTAATGTTCTTAGATATTCTGATCTTCATCATCTTATAGATGACATGCCTACATTATATATTCTGTGGAGAAATTGAGAACATTTAATGAAACAAAAAATATGGTTGACCGCTGTGCGGACTGCCCATAACAAACGGAATAAATCTTATATATCGTTCAGAATTCAGATAAAATGGTGTGTGCGTGAATAACCTTTTATTATTATCATGCAGGAGAAAGCACTGCAAGCACATAACAGCAATCTGGAGAAGAAGGTGAAGTGATAGAATGATTAACCTCATTTATGGACTTCCAAAGTTGGATTGAAATGTGGAATGCATGGCTTCTTCATACAGATCAAGGAGAAGAACAAGGAGGCAGAAGAGGCTTTGAGCCAACAGCAACAAGCGGAGCACCAAGCTCCAGCCGAGACCAGTTCCTCTCCACCGGACTTGCTATCAACAGACTCCACCATTAATGTCGGGTATACTTCCCATCTGGCATCTCTCTTCTACTAAATAATACCTGGATTTGATATCACACACTATAAAAGAGTTAGTTAATTTCACAGTTCATTGCCTAACGATAGAACCTGGTCTGTCTCATGCTTTTTGCCATGATTTTGCTATGAGTTTAAAGAGGTTTTGCAATGTTTTTTTTTGTATAATTGCATCAGAAGTCAAAATTAGTATGAGGTAATAATGAATTCTTTGAGCAAATTCACCGACCTTACCATTGCAGAAATTACCAAGCCACAGGCGCAGTCGTGGAGGAAGCCGAGCAGCCGCTTGCCCAAACGACCAGCAGCGTCTTGCCACCATGGATGCTTCGCCTGTGAAGAGGACCGAGAAGCAGTCGTCACACAACAAGCGCTCTCAAGTTCAAGTTGTTCTTTCGACTACTTGTACATATAACACCAAGTCTCCGTGCTGGTGTTGTGAGCTCCTCCTTTTTATCTCTCTCTCTCTCTCTCTCTAGAGTCTGATCCAGGTCCAGCTTTGGAGTCGTATGGAAAGGAAGCATGTGAGACTAAAGCACACGGTTCCAATCTGGACTTTTGGTCAATGTATGAGGAGTCTTCTCCCTTGTGTTTGTGCTGTGTGTTGTTGGCTCTTGCGCATACGTAAATGTCATAGGATCGATGACAAAAACGTTATGGATTGAAGGAATTCTAACCACAGCTTATGTGATGTTGCAACCTCGCTTTATTCCCTACCATTATCGTGCTGTTTAAACACTCTTCAGAGACAACTTGTACTGATAAGGAATAGTAGATTGGGTTCACAGCAACCATGCCGATCATTGTCCAAATGCTAAAGAGAAAACTCGAGCAGTGATCCTCTCCTATGTATTGTTTTCACTTCTCACAGACTTGACGATGCAAGTGCTATAAAATGGCAACACGGAGGAGTCATCAGATTGACATGCTCATCTTTTTCCACTATCGGACAACTTCCGACAGGAGATTTTTCTTAAATGGACTTCATGTACAACATCGAGCCTAATATGTAAAACTCTCCACCCGAGCGCAAGCCGTGCGAGTTCCTTGTCATTTTAAAAGATCCACCGATGAAGACTTGCGGCATTGACATACACATTATGGATATATACAAACTTTGGCACACGGAGTTCATGGAGTGATCATGTTGCTTCCTTGAATACCATCATCTGTCAAAAGAACACCAAAGTACATAAGCGAACGCCAATAGATTGTACATTATTTGGCATATAAAACCAATCTATCCAGAAATGATCAGAAGCGACACACATTTTGCTATTTTTATATATATCGAACCCTTGTGAGGATTCATATTTCGGAAATCGGATGCCTGGCTGAACAACTTTTTAGATGTGTATGTTCCTCGCTTCAAGACTGGAAACCATTGTGACCGTATTAATGGTAATGAATTAAGATTAGATGTGGCGCAACCGAGCAACTCCAAGTAGCGACTCATTGTTACCTATCTATTCCAGTTTAGGTTAGTTTCCTATGTGGAGCAGCAAACATGAATTACATCTTGGAATTGTGTTCTTGTGTTAGCATGGGTAAGAAAAGAAAATCAACAACGCAAAAGAAAAGAAAGGCAAAATGAAGTCATGCTGATTACTATTGATTGTGAGCCACAGACAGGAGAGTAGGAAGCAGTACATATTTCATTAGTGGGTCATTTTGAAATAAATTAATCCTCATAAAAATAAAATAAGCTGAAATGTATATCAGAATTAAGATGCTAATGTCTGTACTTTCAGAACATGGTTTGAGACAAGAAAGCAATGTGTCAGCAAATCAATTTATAAATTTGACCTGATTGAGTCAAACTTCCAGTCAGGTGTCTTTTAATATGATCATGCATCCTGGAATGCAAGATGCATGAACAATCAAATCTTCTCTGACAAGATGTTGCAAGGTTATGACTTCTATTTATGAGAAAATTGAACAGCAAATAAAGTTTTTCTAGCTAGTTATTTTCATCTCGAATATAATTAGAAATTACATGTCAGCAGTATATACAAGAAGGTTTGTCTTTTTGAATTTGAGGCACATAGCAGACAATTCCTAGAAATAGAAGTGAAGTTCAACTATAATATCTCTGAAAAGATTGTTGGATATTCTCTCTTTACGAGCCGCAGGTTTTAAAGTCCCAGGGAATTACCATGTGGATGTGTTCAAATATAGCTAATTCGTAATGCATGGTTTCTTTTGTATGCTGATGTTATCTTAGACCACATGAGTTAGACACTCAACATAAAGAAACAAATTTGAATGGAAAATGGCAAATTTTAGATACAATAACAAAAAGTTAGAGCAATGGTTGGTCAGTTGAAAGAATCACAAATGGTGACAAACTAGTTACCTTGCCACAAACAGGACATGCATCACTTCTCTCCATCCACTCATATATACAACCAAGATGGAAATGATGAGAGCATTGCATTGTAATCTTGGGGTCTTCAGAAGTATAATCTGCAGAGGCATCATTAAATAGACTCAAATGGCGCAAATAACCTTCAAGATCAGATGTGCATAAAAAGGAGTAATATTTTTTTGCTGAATACACATAAGTCTATGACGATAATTAGCCTTTATTTCCAGAATAACCGAATGTGACATCACATAATAAACCTAGGCCAAGTTCCCGTCGAGTGATTAGCTTATACAAGGTGCATTTTTCTTCATTATTGAAAATCTTCTAGTTCTTATCGGATTGCCATTTTGACAGAAAGAATTCTGAAAATAAATAAATGTACCATATCTATGTAAAGCACTTAAAACATATAACTCTTCAAGGCATATCAAATATTGGCAATATGCTTATAATTGTAACTTACTCCTTACTGTTGCATGTTCCTGTTTGGAAAAAATTCATGAATATATATATGAACTGTCGTTACATTTTTATGAGCTTCATATATGATAATGATTGATTGCTTATTATGAATAGTATAACATTTCATTAACACAAACATATATAAGTACTAAATGTCATACTCATTTGAACCCTATCTGTCTGACATATAACAGGACCATTGTGTACCACTCGTTTCGTACTAGACCAAAGAAGACACTTTAAAGAAGCATTCAAGTTGTTCAAATTAAAAGTCTCAAGTGGGCTGCTGTTAGAAAATACAAGCTCTGGAGTTTCTATTTGGCATAATACGAGATAGAAGGGAAGAAAGAGTGCAGTATCCACTAGAACTTCTCTCAACACCAAAAAAAAGAAAAGAAATTGAGAGCTGAACAGAAGAAACCAAATATAGAAATATGTGAAAGAGACGGGACAAAGAAAGTAACAGGGTTCATGGCTAAAAGGCAGCACATACTCATGTGACAAGCCTTGACATTTATTTAGATGGTTAAAACACACAGTTATAGGTCATGAGAAACAACAGCAAGAAACTAACGAGTATGAAGGTACCAACTAACTAAATTGGTAAAGATTTTGACGGTTTACCACAAGGTTCTAGATTTGAATCCTGCCTTCACCACTTACTCTTTACAAAAAAAGAAACCAATAAGTATGATCATCCTAACCATGGACCATTTCACATCGACTGGCACAAAATAGACCGTATGTACCAATCTGAACAAGAACGGGTATGCGGCCACCCCCGTTTCGGGCTGTCCACTCTGACTCATTTTTAAAAAATTATTTAAGAGAGTGAAATTTAATTAGGAGGCTGGACGCTTCCTTCTCATCTCCTCCTCCTCTCTCTCTTCCTCTTTCCTCCACTGGCTCCTCTCCTTCTTCATCTTCCTTCACCGCACCTTCCTCTTCTCCTTCTTCTTCCTCTTCAAGTCACTGGTATGTACTGGTGTACTGTGACTCTGTGAGTCAGTACAACAATACCAACCGGGACATACTAATACATTGTGAGTTGGCACCGACCAAAACATACCAATACACTATGAGCCAGTATTGCCCGGTACGTACTGGTTTGTCATGGGTCTGGTACCTAAAGTGACGTTCCTTGATCCTATCCATTGGTAAAAACAACCCCTACCAACCGGTACAAATCAAAATTTGAATCTTGCTTAAACATCAATAAAAGAACCCAAGGGACGTGAAACATCTTTTTGATAAGATCCGTAATTTCTGAAGTACAAAAACATATCCAAAACTTGAATCCTAATGACGTGATGGCTGTACCAACTTAGTTAAACAAAAACAATACTAAGTCGTAATGCCCCAACTACTTTGACCACCTACTTGGAACTTCCACCTTGAGCTCTGTTTCAACTCTCCTGAGCTTTACCTAAAATATGACTAACAAACATAAAATTAACAATCTTAGCAAAAGAAAACACACAGCTTCAACAAGCTGACCATTATTATCTCTTCGTTCTTCAAGAATACAATCAGAAATAGATATTTTTGGCCTCTTCTCCATATAAGCATGAACCACAAGCAAAATTTTCGGACCTGATTTCACCATATTTTATGATCTAAACTAAGACAAAAGTTATATTTGTTTGTCAAATGGCCTTTCATATGATAAGCAAATAGTCACTATGGCTGGAACGCGCGGATGTGAAACTGTGTCTTTTCCAGTTCTATTACCTAGAAAGAGTGTTCATGCCTCTCATCTATCTCATCAGGTATACACCATTGACTTTTTCCAGTTCTGTTACATAAAAAGAGTTTTCCTGGCTCTCATCTATCTCATCAGGTGTACACCATTGACTCAACTTGAAGCAAAGGCAACCAATAATATACTATGTCCCACTTGAATATAAGAAATCTAAAAGAGAAATTTGCTTACCCTCACAAAGGACAGATGTTTTCTTCCCTTGAAATGTTCTAAAGCAGAAGTAAAATGACATATAATAAGATTTTAGAGAGGAATGTTATGATCCTTTCTTTTCTTTTTTACTGTTTAAGTCATCTTTTTGAAAGTTGCTGTTTCACAAAATATAGTCACCTTACAGCATGTTCGAAAAAGTTTTCACCAATCTATTAAGCCAAAAGGTAAATTTAGTTTAATTGATACTCATAACCAATTCACTGTGAAATAGCCAATATATTAATAGAAATAAAGAACTCATCCAATCTACCTTCAAGACATGTTGGACAAACATCCTCATCCTCATAAGGAAAGTTATTCATTATTTCTTTTCTGGGTTCTGCAGAGAAGCGCTTTAGTGAGGACTCTGGCTGACCAAATTTGTATCCTCCATCAAAGATTGACTTACATTTGCCTTCTGTTTTCAATTCTGCCTCATTATCATTGTTGTTTATAAATGGTTCAGACTCCTCATGGAAATGGCTTAAGATTTTATCGTGCCTTGAGATAAGCCCATCATGCTGAAGCTGGGAGAATATAGGATCATCATAAGGTACAGGCCTGGGCGGAGCATTGTACGTGTCAGGAATAGAATCATTAATGTTTAGTGATGGAGATGCAACAGGAACTCTTTCCCGCAAAGATGAAGGAGCGGCATGCACTTCCTCTCTTGAAAATAATGCAGTGTACTGCAAAAAAAGATGAAAAATGGCTTTCTAATTAATGGAAATAGCCCAAACATTGGACAAAAGGAAGTTCTTCAGCATCTTCTAGAAGATGTCAAAAAGCATGCAACAGTCAATTTCAGTTTCTAACTCATCAGCATGCCCCGGCAGAAGATGCCGGTTAAATAAATTTTATTAAGTTTGTCACTTCCAGTAGAGTTCCCCATTTTTTGGTACATAAATCAAATAAAATATAATTAAGTAGAAGAAAGGTAAGTCATCAATCAAGAAAACAGGGCACACCTTCACAACAAACTTATACCAAGTACTTTATTAGATAAAGTTTCCACCAATGGCCAGTACTACTGACATGTCAAGTAGTAGCATATGATATGAAACTTTGTACCAACAATCTTGCATGCAGGTCATGCCAACCAGATACCAGTATCCTGCACTAAGGATGTTGACAACAGAACACTTGGCTATCACAAAATCCATGCCTGACAAGATATCAGGATAAATGATGTTCAAATGACAGAGTTAGTTAAGCTTCTAAAACAAATTTCTTATACATTCCTTTAGTTGGTTATACTCTTCATTCTTGTCCATTCAATTCAACCCAAATCTAAGTACCTAAAAGGAAGACAAGATAGTATTGCTTCTGAGATCTTACTAAATCAGTCAAAGTGCGTTAATCTCCCAATGGGAAAAATAAAAGAACACTTTTCTTTGCCGTAAGTTTAGATTATACTTGAAGCCAAGATTACAAGTAATCTGAGTCAACCATATCACAATGAACTCATACCACCATCAAACAGTGGGAGCTACCGACGCCCAAAGTCATTGCTTACAAGGAGGGAACTGATGGCAAAGCTCATGACTAAAGTAAGTCCTGACAAGGTAACCTTACTGTAAGGAGCAGCCAGATAACAAAGGCCTTCATTTATAATTTTGTGGTGTCAACCATATAGATCATTGATTATCACAGCTAATAATAACACAGAATTAAAAGTTTGCATCTCTCATGGTTTTTCTCTCCACCTAAGGCCTCTAGTCTAAATTGATGCAATTTGCCTTGTTCACATAGTGGTCATCATTAGACAAATTAAAATCATCTTAAATGATTTTCCCTCATCCTATCCCTAGTTAGTGTCACTTCCAACTTAGCAGGAAAGAGAAAAAGTTACTACCATGTTCTGTTATGTATTTTTCCATCTAAAAGTTAGCTTTAACCGTATATAATCTGCATTAAGCTCGATAAGAAAATAAATAAGCTCATGGAGCTTCTTTCGACTTCTAGATAATAATTTTAAAACACGCTTTTAATTTTCTCTACAAACCATGTTCTTGGGCACAGGGAGATATGCATTAGCTTAATAGTAATATTCTGAATCCTTGGTGAGTTGCATAGTATTGATCTATGTATAAGCATTAGTTTAGTTATTTAAAATGTTTAAGAAGAAAAGCTAGGGGATCAAATCGACAGTATATATTATAATAACAAGGCTACAAATTTATGCATATCGACGATGTGCCTTTTTACTAATATCAAATATCCAAAAAGATAGAGCAACCATTGATTTTATGCCACCTAGCTGATCCAAGAAACTTACATGAAAGCTAAAAATATTTGGAGCTTCAAGACTAGCAAATAAAAAATAAGTACAACGAAGAGTAGCTCTTTTTGTTTAATGTCAATACATGCAAGCTTCGGATCGCATGAGATTTTGCAGTACTAAAAAAAAAAAAGGCATACCACGCTTATCAATTGCTGAGCCAAGCATCTGAGGCAGATGCAGCTTCTGAAAACCGAAGCACTTGAATGTTGATATTCCTCAGTATCCTCTTCAAGCAAGCAAGAGGAAACAGATCCCATATTCCCAACTTCACTCCCCTGTTCAGATCTACCACTCTACAACCTGATTATATCAAGCATCCTGGAAAACGTTTCTCTTTTTCTCACCTAAATGAGGAGAATCCAAGGCCAAAAAAAAAAAACATATATTTGTCGTCAAAATAAAAAAAAATCAAATCTAGAAAATTAAACACCAAGATCGAGAACATAATCTTCCAAAAATACAAAAAAAAGCCGAATCTCTAACATCTAGGTCTCAAAATCATCCAGGATCGAATTCAAGCGTAATTACCGGTAGACAGAACGAGCAAGGCATTCATCACAGACATCCAATCGAGAAATTGTTGCAAGATTCCTTAATTTTACCTGCCACTCTTACGGGCTTCTTCGAATTGGAATCTTCCCCACCTTCCCTCGGCGAACTTCCCCGACGACGAGGAACTCAGGTGGAAAGCACCAAGGGCGGCGACCTGGCGCTGGTGAGCACTGGAGCACCCATTTGCCTTACGGGTGTCAGATGAACCGCTTACAGGACATGAATCCGAAATCCGATCCGATTCCCGATAGTTATCGAGCATGGCAATAGGTGCGGATCCAGGGATTGATTACCCAAATCGGATCCTATTTGGGTCCTTTAAGCCCTTATCGGATTAAGGGTCCCAATCCAACCCGATACGAGATCTAAATGCTTCTTCCACTTCTTAAATATGTAGCAAAAAATAACAATTATTATTTATTATTGCATCGATTTGGCAAATTGGTGGAAACATGAAAGCTGAAATTGGAGCTTTTGTACTGTCCCATTTGGAATTGTAAATTACAGACAGCTATATCAAGTTGTCAATTCGATCTAAATCATTGCGGAGTTTGTCAATGAGGGAAGACTCATGGTAGTAGCAGCTTTCATTGTCTTGAGTTCTTGCCATGGCAGCCCACAACAAAGTCCTCTCTGCATACTGCATTACAGAATGGGGAGGTACAAGAAGTGTCTTGCGGTAGATACTGCACTGAGGTTTCTCCATCCCCGGAGAAGTCATGGTGCCTTTATACGTGCGCATTCTTCGGGGACAAACCTGTTCATGGTGGTTTCTCTAAGGAGTGTAAGCCAAGATGCTCATGATTGGTCTCAGTATGAAATGTGGCGAGTTAAGCAACACTTTCATGGCTACCACGTTGAGGATGGAGCCCATGGCAGTAAACAAAGGTCGGGCATGAGGAGAAAAGAGAGGGGGGCATGGGATGTGAAATGACACCCACCACAAGGACGAGGTCATAGGTGGAGCCAGAGACAGTTGTGCTGCGCTCACTTTCTTCCCCTCCCACCACCTCCTCCTCCTCCGTAGCCGCGCAGCAAAAGTTCATTTGGAAGGATGGGAAGGACCGGCACAAGGCTACCGAGCTTCTGCTTGAACCGCGTCGCCACCCGTGTCAGAGTCCGGTCTCCGCCGCTCGAATCGAAGCCGCTCTCCCCGAGCACAAGAAAGTTCAGCGCGCCTCTTGGGTATGCGGATGCGAAGGTCGGGGCCAATGGAGGTAAGCAAGAGATGGAACAGGGGAGGCGGATCATGATCGTGGTGGACTCCAGCCCGGAGGCGAAGGCTGCTCTGCTGTGGGCGCTCTCCCACTCGGTGCAGAGCAACGACACGGTCGTCCTGGTCCAAATCGTGAAGCCATCCAAGCACGGTAAGACTCTCTGTTGCAATCGGCAATCGAGTCCTGTTGCTCGTTGGCCATGTCTGTAACTTTGTGATGGCAGGTGAAAGAGTTCAAACTGAAAGACAACCAAAAGGTTACGAGATTCTCCATGCCATGAAGAGTATTTGCCAAGCAAAAAAACCAGAGGTAAAAGTTGTAAGGTGTTCATGCTTTAGCTGAATGAACTTGTCATTCTTTCTTTCTCCAAAAGTTGACATTGGGCAAGATTTCCTTCCGAAGAGAACATAGGGAAGATAACAACTGGCGTTGGACATTGCTTGTGATAGTAGGTCATCCTTCAAGGATTCAGCCATTGGACTAAAGCCCCAGTTGTCTGCTCACCTTGATTGGTCTTTATATAACAGGATATAATGACATTAATGGCCAAATCTATTTAGTTCGAACACTCTTGAATGTTCTTTGACAGTTCAAAGTAAATGAACTTCATGATCAAGAGTAGTAAGATTTCCCTTGTGACCACACAACCAGAGAGATGTCAAGTCCTTCAGGGCCTATTAAGATAACCTTGGATTCAAGAGTAGATGATTGTGAGATCAGCCTCTTGCTTGTCCTTTTTACTGGTCCATCTTCCATGGGCAAATTCTGATATATGAGTATGTTCCCAGGTGCGGATTGAGCTCTGTTCGGTGGAAGGAAAAGAGCGAGGGCCGACGATCGTGGAAGAGGCAGGCAAACAGGGAGCCTCCCTCCTCGTTATGGGGCAGAGGAAGAGATCGACGACGTGGCGCTTGATCATGATGTGGGCGGGCAATAAGGTGGGAGGCAGCACGGTGGACTACTGCGTCCAGAACGCCACATGCATGGCGCTGGCGGTGAGGAAGAAGAGCAGGAAAGGCGGCGGCTACTTGATCACCACCAAGCGGCACAAAGATTTCTGGCTCTTAGCATAAGGTTGGAATCGAAACATGTGAAACATGAGCCTCGTGCTTTGACCTGCATGTTTGCTTTCGAGGGTTAAGTGATGTGCCGATAGCTCAAAGATGAAACCTGTAGTATTTGTTCATTCCTTGTTGCCTTTGTATGATATGCTTTTGGTCATGAGAGACTGCTTCATGTACTCTCAGTAACATTGGTGAATAAAAATGGGTCCTCTCTCTCTCTCTCTCAGCTATAATAAGTTTACTCCGATATCAAGTGTGTGTAAATATTATATATTGTATGTTTTAATGCTTCTGTGCTTCACTCTTCATATTTCAATTGGATTATAGTATATTTCAGAAGCAGGTTTGACCTGATAAATCTGCGAGCTCAATTTCTGAAACAGAAGGCTATCCACAGTGTATCGGTTTCTCTTCAAGCCTTTGGAGTGCCTTTTCTTCATCTCCTTCACTCCCTTCCACCTGGCTGTTTCATACGAACGAAGAGCCGCCAGGGAAGCCAGCATGAGGATGCTAAAGGCAAAGGAAGCAGGGGAAGCCTTGGACCTCGAGCAATACGTCCTGGAGCTGATCAAGGAGAAGCTTGGTTACGTGCTGCGTCTCCTGGAGGATTTCGTCCGGCTCGTGGCGCGAGAATTCGACAAGGCCTTTCCGCCGGAGACCAGGTCGGAGGCACTCCGCTGGTGGCGGCGCTTGGGACTGACCGTGGCACTGCCCCTGGTTCTGGTTCTGGTTCTCCTCTGCCTCTTCTCATGCTGCTGCAGGTACCTCTGCGCCCAGCGGCCCCGGAGGAGGATGGAGGTTCCCACACGGGATGCGGTGCTCATGGACCCGGCCGCCCTCGAGCCCCGCCGCAGGCCTCGCTTCATGAATCTTGGAGGCAAGAACGACCTGGTGTTGTAGAATCTCCACTGTAAACGTAGACATGGTTGCTATAGACTTCCAATTAATGAAGATTGGATTCTCTTCCACTGCACGGAACGTCCACTTAGGCACGCGATCCATGTCCATTCTGCTTCAAGATTCGTGGAATACAGGCATTTCTAAGAATACTAATTAATCTCAACATGGTATATATATGTTAGCGTAAACAACTTTTTAGCCGTGATCTCGGGGCCGACGCGGCTTGGTTCGGGTCCGGATGACGGGTCGTCGGTTCCTTCGCGAGGGGGTTCCTTGCCGACGCGCCCGGAGAGAAGCGCCTCGCCTTCGTTCCTGCACACAGGTCGGGACGGGAGAACTCGACTCGACCCCTCCGACGATCAAGTCAGTCAGCAATCGTAGTGGGGTTGTTTTTTCTGTTTCTTCTCCCCCCTTTTCGTTCAGAATGCAAGGGTATTTATAAGGGGGGGCTTGGTGTTACCTGATGCGCCTGCCCGTAAGGGGTAAGATCGTACCTTCTGATGGCGTCTGACATTGCTATCGGCGTAACGTGTGGAACCGAACCTGAGCGATCGTTAATGGGCCTCGGTTGACGTTTTGACCCGTGTCAATCACGCGGTGTTGGACTAACAGGGGAGCGGGACGTCAGCGGGTGTCATACAAGTCTTATCGTAATTATTACCCTCATCATATATATATATATATAT